AAAGTTAATTGTGAGTTGTGCTGAGCTAATTTGCTATTACCCAAAGAAATAAAATTGCTCATGTTATTGAAATTTTAGCAAGTCTCAAAAAAAACTTTCAAAGTTTCAAAGAAATTTTCAAAGAGAAAAAAGTAAATTATATCGAGACCATAAAATATGAGAAGATTTATGTCACGCCCCGAGCCGACACCATGGGTGGGACTGGCACTCAAGAACCATTGTTGGCCCCAACAGAACCCTTAGTTTGGCTTAACTTATAGCGAAAGACTTAAATAACAAGAAACGGTCTCAAAGGATAACCCATGCAATAACTTAAAGAAATATTAAACTAGCCAAAATGGCAACTCAAGTCTTAACATAAACAACTGAAAATGGAAAGACTAAAGAACTATAACTATCCGTCTATGAATCCTCTAAAACAAAGAGGGATGTCGGGACAAGACCCCCGATCATCCTAACAACTGAAGTACTAAAGGGGTCCTCCGGAAAATAAAGAGGCTCAAACTCTGAGTGCTCAATTGGATCAACGAGGCGCTGGATGCTAACCCTGGTTACATGTATCTGCATCATAAAATGATGTAGGCCAAAAGGAATCAGTACATTGAATGTACGAGCATGCGAGGGGAAAACTAAACACGACTTAAGCTTGAAAAGAATCTGAAGAGAATACTTACCTTAGCTTTACTTAACTCATGGATACTCAACTCAAATGTAGAATAAAACAACAGTAAAATGCAGTTTATCTAAGGCATTTAAACAGTAAATAATAACTCAATTTACTCATATAATAAAGTAATATAATTATGTGGAAGTTTCTCTAACCGACAACCATCACTATGAGCTAAAGTGATGATACACCATCTCTCCCATGCAGCCAAAACAGTCCTATAACTTGCCGGGATATAGAACGCCTCAACTAAGTGGATCCACTAGTCTATGCTAAAAAGCACTAAGGAATCATCTAAAAAGTATGACCCTTTTTCTACCCACTATGGCCATTGGTTTATGGAGACATTGAGTTGTTATGAACTCGTCCCCACATCGGTGCTCAATACTACTCCCAAAATACTCAGCTCATTTGTTTTAAAAACAAAACTATTTATGTGGTTTGAGGTAATTACTCAAAAACTAGCTCAAAGGCTCTCTTCGAAATCGGTGTTTCCTCTCTTGTTTAAATGTGAAAACATTTACTCTTTGGGAATACATAGTCCCGATATACTTTTTTTGAAGAAATGAACTTCACTTTTTACTCTTTACTCAACTCAAAACTCAAGTTTTAAAACAAAGTTAAAACGTTTGTAAAAGACTTTTGGAAAAATTTTATGAACTTCTCTTGACTTGACTCTTTACTCTCCTTGAGTTGAATTATGGATTCAAGGCTCATGATCTCATTTTTATGGATGGTTTCATGATGTTTAGACGTACCTTAGAGTGTAGAAATCAACTAGAAAACTTAGGTACGTTGCTAGGGAACTCAAACGGAAAAAAGTGGGAAAGAGTAGAGGACTTGGCGTCCCTAGCGCTCTGAGTGGCCCGGGGAGCCAGAGGGCAAACTTAAGAAGCTGGGTTTGGGGCGCACTGGCTGGCGCGGCGCCCCAGAGCCCAAACTTCAGAGATTCATTTGGGGCGCTCTGAGTGGCGCGGTGCCTCAGCCCCCTCCCTAGGTTTTTGACGAATTTTCTTGCTCGTTTTTCAACACTAAACCCTATAGATTCAATTAGTTTCTTTCCCAAATGCGACACAACCAAAGTATACAAGTACCCACTCCAAAACAACCTTACATCTCCCCAAATAGCTCCCAAGAACTCCTCCAAAACTCATAATCAAGATTCAAACGAAACTTAAACAAATTTCATCAAGAACTCATAATCTTTTCTTTTAAGAACACAATTATGCTGAATTGAATCATGATTGGCGCGTGGGTGAACTAACCCAACACTATGTTATCTCACATACCTCATAGGGATCACCCCTTGACGAAATCCACGATCTTAGCTTCAAGAACTTGATGATTTCTTGTCTCTTCTCCTCTTTTCTCCTCTTCTTTTCTCTTCTCTCAAGACCCTAACTCTTTTTGATGAAACGTAAACTGAACCAAATTAGTTTCAACCCAAACTTAATTACCAAAAACGAAATTAAATAATTGGGTAGTGAAAATACCATAATACCCATCTAAAATTCGGTTTTGACTTTCCTTATCTAGATAGCCCAACTTTGAATGGTCATATCTCCGTCATACGAACTCGAAATCGAGCAAACTCAGCGGCGTTGGAAAGATAATTCAAAGATCTTTCCTGCGGTATCTTGTATCACACCTAAATCATCTTGATCTAGGAGTTATGATGTCTTGAAGTTGACCCAAAAATGACTTAAACAAATTTTCCAATTTTTTCATTCTTTCCAAAAATGACTCTTTCTAATTCTAACTCTTTCATTTAGCGAGGTGTTACAATTTAATATCTTCATATTATTACAATTAGAGCGGGTTACAAATATTTATGTGAAAAGTTACCCTTTTTTTTTATGTTGTTTGTGGTACATAAATATGAGCATAATGGTGGAATCACAGGCAAAAGTAAACTAGAAGTTTAGTGAAATAAATATTTGTTGTCAGAGACAATTGATCATCCCAGTTCAAATATCATGAAAAAACAGTTGAGAATTCATGTGGTTATATATGAAGAAATAGAAAGTTCTTCGTGAATTTCTATATACTTTGTGTTCTCATGATAAATTGATCATACCAGCTAAGATTGAGATTGTATCCCATGATGTTTTCTAAAACGTATGAAAAAGTGAATATGAGCTCATTTAGCTGTCATGTGGACCATATACTATTATATCATTTTTAATATGATTTCTAATAAATGCATCTATGTTAGGTCACATGTACTTTGTTATCAATTTGTAATTTGATTTTTGTAAGGTTGTTTGCTCGAATTGTTAAATCAAGAGCACATTTCAAATTATAAAATTATATTGATGATGTTGGCTTATATCCAAGTGAATTTTACATAAATTATATGGCTCAGATTATATCTAAATCATTGGTTATTAGAAAAGCCAATCCCCAATCACAATTTGTTTAGGATCAGGTGCCAAATAATTATCATCTAGAAATTTAAATGTGTGATATCTGATTCAATTGTTCCACCACAACGTCACACACAAAGATGAGTCCCCAAATTAGGTTAGGGTAAATATTAGATTTTTTAACATTAGGGGGAGAGATGATAAACAACTTGAAAATAAGTTATATATAATGAATTATCATTGGTATGATCCTCGTTCAAAAGATAATTTAAGTCAATTGACAGACGCATTTGTTGATCCTTATTCTAATCCAGTTATAAATGCTCCAATGAAAGATATTTGAAGCATATAATTTGTGGCACGCCTAAAGCGTGATAGATTAATTGGTTCGATAAAACTTTTTTAAGCAGAAGAGCATCAAATGATCAAGATGGTCATAATAATGAGACAAATATTTTAGAAAGAACAACATGACATAACAGTTTAGAAAGAACAACATGACATGACACTTTATAAGTTTACTGGGAAAAGGCATAAATTCCCCCTGAACTTATATTGAAAAGTACTTACACGCTTAAACTATTATAATGACCTATTACACACTTTTACTATTCAAAAGTGAATTTAATGCCACCCTGAGACGTGTAACACTCTCATAGGGTGTGGTGTAATACACTCGCCGTCACATCAGCGTTACGTTAGCGCCATGTCAGAAATTATAATTTCTTATAATTTTTTTGGCTTTCTTTTCTCTATTAATTAGTTTTCTTTTGTCAACAATATTTTACACTACTTAATCTCTAATCAATTATTAAAATTCTATAATAATTATACCTTCTTCATCACAAAATCTCACCCACTTCATCTCTTATCTCATGGAAAAAACCATAACCGGCTACCTTATTCACTATTGATTCTTTGTTCTTCACCACCTCCATATCACCTTCAATTCTTCTTCTTCTTCACCATCCACCACTAAATATCACCATTTCCAATATAATTTTGTTTCTTCTACATCATCTTCGATTTCCACTCTTTTTTTTCAAAATTGTTACCCAACACCACCACACTCATAAAGTTGTCATCTTCACCAAATTAAAAAATTGATTAATCTTCTTCACCACCTTCAATTTCCTCTTTTTTTACCCATTACCTAGAACCACCATACCTATAAAGCTGCAATTACAACCAAACCCAAAAATTGATTAACAAACAAAATTCCTTTAACAAAGTCAAAAAATAGAAAAGATAGAAACAATCAACCAAAAACACCTAAACATAACTTAAGGATTTATTTAGGTTTATCCAAAATTCTTTTTAGATTCTTTCTTTAGTAAAAATTATCACAAAATACAATTATTCACTAACAAATCTATGAGAATAAACCTAATTGCTAATCGAAAAGAAAAGTTGTGCTTTGAGATTGTGATGTATAAAGAATGAAGAAGAGATGTGAAAAAGAAGAATAGGTGTGAAGAAGAGGAGGTTTGAAGAAGAGGTGTGGGGGTAGGGGTGGGGTGGATTAGGGTAAGGGGTTAAAAGTTGATTTTAATTATTATTTTTATTTTTATTTCTAACTTACGCGTATAGTTTTTATTTTAATTTTATTTTTTTTGTCAAATCAGTCTTAAGGGGTAAATAAATTCACTTTTAAATAGTAAATGTGTGTAATAGGTCATCATGATAGATTAAGCGTGTAAGTGATTTTTCGATACAAGTAAATTTGAAAAAACATGGCTTTTCAAGGCCTTGTTTTGTGTGAAAAACATGTAACCTGTCAAATTGGGTAAAGTTTTAAAATGAGAGCGTAGAGTTGTTTAAATGATATAAATGTTAGTTGAAGTGTGTAAGAAGAAAAATGGTGTGAACGAGGTTTATTAAAATCAAAACCATTTTAAATGACAAAGTAGAATAATAATTGTAATATAAATGGTGCAGAGACAGAGGCAGTGGGTGATGAAGGGATTTTGATGGTGGCAAATGCAATGATGCTGTTGGTGGCACTGGCAATAGTGTTGATCTTGTTGTTGAAAGTGGTATACAAATCATATGGGTCCCTTTAAAAGTGCAACATGTGTTGAAGAAACAAGGCATAAATGGACCAGGTTACAGCCCAATTTTGAACAACACAGCAAAGATTAGAAGATTGATGATAGCAGAAGCTGAATCAAAGTCCAGCTGTTTCACTCATAATCATGAAACAGTAGTTTCCCGTGTCATGCCACACTATTATAATTGGTCAACGATTTATGGAAAGAATTTTCTTTACTGGTTTGGTCCTAAACCTAGGGTTGCAATTGCTGATCCCAATCTCATAAAGGAGATATTGCTTAATACCACTTCCTTTGAGAAAATCAAACATAACCCTTTGTCAAAACTTCTGCTTGGAGATGGGCTTGTTGGGTTAGATGGTCACAAATGGGCTATTCACAGAAGGATCAGCAACCACGCCTTTAACATGGAGATAGTAAAGGTACATACTCTATTTCTAATTAATTACTCTAATATATATGGACTTGACCAAAAAGGATTATGTCTGGACTCAGAGGCGGAACTAGATAGGGGTTCATGGATAAAATTGATTGATGAGTCACTGCTAAGGAAGGAAATGTTTTTCATACTAGAATTGTGGGTTCGAACCCGCCTCTCTTTTTTTAAAGGGAATTACTCTTAATCCTAGCTCCGCTTCTATGTCTAGTTGAGATTGATACAAGGATCCGCGTCATACTGGACTAAAATGTTGCCTTTGTGATCCTCCATGACTTTCACACTCTACTAATTATAATTTACATCCAATCACACCAATTACAATATTTAGCTAGTCTCAGGAAGGGGGTTTTGTGAATTGTGATATATATGAGTGCAATGCATTGTGTAAATATTGTAGCTAAATGATTCTTCTATGTGTCTTAGGGTTTGGTTTATTGATCAATTGGCATGTGTCCATTTTCTCAGGGTTGGATTTCTGAGATGGTTGATAGTACAACAAAGTTGTTGGACAAGTGGAAAGACGTAACAAGTGCAAGAGACCAGTTTGAGATGGATGTACACAAAGAATTTCACAAACTTTCAGCAGACATCATTTCTAGGACCGCTTTTGGAAGTAGTTTTGAGGAGGGAAAGCGTATTTTTGAATTACAAGACCAGCAAGTGAGCCTTGTTTTAGAGGCCATACGAAGTGTCTACATTCCTGGATTCAGGTGCATTTCGTTATCGATAGTATGATGCATCTCACCTTTCAATGATTTTGTTGAATACCAAACTTATATGTATCATTTCTTTTATGTTACAATCCCCTTACCACTTTTTCCTTGTATGAATTGTGCTATGTAAAGGTTGGGAGAAAACAAATGCAAATGCATCTCATTTTTTACTGTTGATTTCTTTATCTTAAGTGTAACCATATTTATGACTTCTTAATTAGAAACTGCATGTGCTTGGTGATAGAATAATATCTGTACCTGAGATGCCTATGAGAATGTCAAAATCACTGTCAACTTGTGTTCAGTGCGCTCTTGCTGATAATAACGAATTGCCAACCAATTTTTCAGAGTAGGTATCATTTCTGTTCTATAGATAGATACCATGTAAAAGCAAGAGGGAAAAACATGATAGAAAATAAGAAGGGGTTCTAAAAAAGAAGTGTCCCATATGAACTAGGAAGAGCTCTCTTTGTGGGCTTTGCCCGAAGATAAATTCGTGGATTTGTCCCCTCCACTGTGCGCGAGACCTAATCTAAATCCCGTTTAGCAGAAACCACTTCTATATTTTGGGCCTACAAGAAACTGTACAAATTCCTTAACCAAAATGTATCCAGATTCATTCTGTAGAATTAAGTGAGCCATTATTTCAAAATTGTAACCTCTGGCTCATTACGTGAATTAATGGACCATTATTTCTTTATCCTATTATGGTCAGATTTTTCTCCCATTATGTACATTCTATCTTTGGAGAAAGACAACCAATTGAGAAAACACTCCTTTTCTTCTTGTTATATTGTTGGATTTTCCACTATTTGATAAAAAGTTCCTCTTCGATATGAGAAAAATCTTTGTTAGTTCTTCTGCGAGTTTGTTGAATCCTTGTGATATACCTATATAGGGTGAAATATCCCTAAGGATAGTTCCATATGCATGCTTAAAGCTACAAGAATTGTCGTGATTTCCAACAAAACAAGTGAAAAGATAAGATATGCTTTTGTAAATTGTCCAATGTGTACTTTTAATACCACCAGATCGACTGTTTTTGCTATTCAATATGTCCACTATAACCTTTTCATCTGAACTCCATTTAAAATGACCCTTTGACATCTGCAATTGTCTTATGCAAAGTGATGTTTACCACTATATTGTTACCAATAAAAACACAATATTTACCACTATATTGCTAGGCATTTAGAGATTGCAGCATTTCCATAAAGAATATTAGTAAAGCTCTAATTGCCAATTGGCACCAGTGGCGGCTCTACAGCTTTGAAAAAAAGGCAACTGCCTTAGGCCCCAAAATTTGAGGGGCCTCATTTTTTAAAAATACAATAAGTTATACATATTTTTTTTTTTAAATATCGCGTATAATTTGTAGAAAATATAATTTTTTCATAAAAGAGCAAGGAAATAATAGAAGTTTGATAAATTATGAATACTATGTCTCAAGAAAGATTAAATAATTGGCTATAATAAATTTCATAAAAAATATATATTCGAATTTAAGGCCTCCATTCGGATTTTGCTTTAGGCCACCAATTTATTAGAGCCGCCCCTGATTGGCACATGAGATGACACTAAGCATTCATGTCTAAGCCAACTCACTGTCTTTGTTGAGTTGAAATGGTGGAGTCTTATTAGTACCCTTCTTTGAAAATATGGTTTCATCATCCTAGAGCAACTACTTGCTTCATTATTTTCACTGTAAATGATGCCATTTCTTTCTCCTGGATACAGATTTTTGCCCACCAAGAAGAACAGATTGAGGAAAAGACTGGAGAAGGAAACTAGAGATGCAATTAGGATGTTGTTAAACAATTGCAGCAGAACAGCAAACAATTCGAAAAGCTTGCTTTCTTTGTTAATGCATCCAATCAAGAATCAGGATGACAAACAGGAGACACTGGATATAGAGGAGGTTGTAGATGAATGCAAGACATTCTACTTTGCAGGAAAGGAGACAACTGCTAATTTTCTGACATGGGCTTTTCTTCTGTTGGCATTGCATCAAGAATGGCAGAGCAAGGCTCGGGAAGAAGTTGTTCGTGCTTGCAGAAATGGGATTCCTTCTGCAGAGAATATAGCTGATCTCAAGATTGTAAGTTCAGCTGTTATTGCAGATTCTTATTTTTCTTTTTTCTGGCAACTCTGCTTAACAGTCTCATGATAGTACTTATGTCCCCAAGTATGATGTAAAGGACGAGCATGCTATACTGATGAACAACCTCATTATGCATTCATGATACTTTCAAAGATGGTGCATAGTATCCCTATTTTTTCTCGCAATAAGATGATGAGGTGTACTTTATGTCCGATTGGCAGGTGAGCATGATATTGAATGAAACACTTCGACTTTACCCGCCAGCTGTGATGTTGATGAGGCAAGCATCAAAGAATGTCAAGTTAGGAAACCTTGACATACCAGTGAATACACAGTTCTATTTGGCTATGACTGCTGTCCATCACGACAAGGAGATCTGGGGAGATGATGCCCATGAATTCAACCCGTTGAGATTTGCTGAGTCACGGAAACATTTAGCTTCGTTTTTCCCATTTGGTTTAGGCCCCAGAATCTGTGTGGGCCAAAACTTAGCTCTTGTTGAGGCTAAAGTGGTCCTGTCAATGATCATTCAGCAATATTCTTTTTGCATTTCCCCATCATACGTTCATGCTCCGACTCAGGCTATGACCTTACAACCTCAATATGGTGCTCAAATACTCTTTAGCAAGATTTCTTGATTTCGTATGTGCTGGAGAAATGCTCAGGCTTGTCTCTAAATAAATGCTTGCTACAGAGTAACTAGTGCTGACTGACTCTTTATTCTCTTGTACATTATGAGCACTATAAACTCACAGTAACAAAGAAAGTAGTAATATGTACTGAAGCACAAAACAACTCTTTATTAGGATGGAGCTTCAAAAATGTGTTTCTGGGACCTTGAGTGAAATATTTTGCGTCTTTTACTATGGATGTATATAGTTTCTATTGACTCGTATAGTTGGTGTTTATACTTGGTAAATTATAAGTATGGTATGAGAGTCAACTATTACTTGCCCTTTTATTTGATTGATCAATTAGTCTTGGTATGATAGTCAACTACATACATTCCCTCCACTCTACAGTTACGATGGGAAATCTTGAAGAAAAAATTGAAATTTTAAATTTACGGTAGTAGCTTGTGCATTTGTAATCATTATTAAAAGAGGAGTGCATAGTTTCACTCTTGTCTTCACTTGCTACGGATTTTCATATCCTAATTCTCCATTTATCAAACTTGTCATTTTCTTATTATCTACCATTTGGTAACAATATTGTCTATTTGTGTTATTAGTGAAGGAACCTAATTATTTAACTGTTAAGTGTTAAATGTCACTGAGTAATAATGTCCACTATTTTAGAAATTAATCCCCTACTACTCCTCCACGGGTGTCAAATGGGTGGGTTGACTTGAAATTGGAGATATTAAAATGGATTGAAAAAATTGGTTGGGTCATGACCCGCCCAAATTTATTTTTGGCTCAAATGGGTTAAAATCGGGAATCATGAACCGTTCAATTTGACCCACTTAATCTCAATAATTTTAACATATTGTTATTTAACTTTTATAAAATTTCAAAATAACAAAAATAAGTTAGAAATGGATAGATAAATCCAAAAAAATATAAAATAGATAGTAATTCATATATTCGATATGAGAACATAAATCACACTAATGCAAATAAAGAGTCTTATAACGAATTGAAATTGGAGATAAAAGGGAAAAGGGTCAAAAATACCTCTCAATTTTGATTCATTCATGGTTTGCGAGCTATTGCATAGGAGCGGGGGTTTTACCCTGTGTGCACCCAAAGGGTAGCGGCTGCGGGTTTCCCTTGTCATCAAAGAAAAAAAAAATTGATTCATTAGTTGACTATGCATGTACCGTTAAAATGCAGTTATTCTTGCCCATGTCGTTACTCATCTTATCACTTGTGCTCCTATGTGGACGGAAATTCCCAAATCGACTTAAATTAACCCGAATCTTAAAAAACGACCAATTTTCCATTTTAAACCCATACCCCGACCCCTATAACTTTTAACCCAATAAACATTAACTCATTCCCCTTTACCCACTCTCGCAAAAGATAAATATCCCCTCCGACTGTTCTTCACTTTCCTTACCCATTTCCCTTACTGATTTTCCTCCCCTCTGATTGTTCTTCCACCATCCCCACCCTTCCCCTCTCCTCCGATAGTTTTCCTAATCTCATAAAATAGTTATCCGTCTCAAAGAAAATGTGTTTGTGGTTTGGTGGTCAAAACACTAATTTTGAGTACTACATCTAATTCGAGAAAAAGATTTTCCAGATGTCTTTGTCCGGATGTAAGTATAAGAACTGATTTCTTCCTATTATTCAATTTTTTTTGTTCTTAATTAGTGTTATTATCATATTTTTGGTTGTTATGGCAATTTTTTATGTGGATATTGGGAATGGGAAGACCAAGCTTTTTTCGAAATAGCTTACCTACGTAATTTAGAATTGTCCTTGAAAGATGTCAAGATTGAAATGGATAATTCGAAGATTAAAATGGAGAATTTGAAGATTGAAGGAGGTCATTTGTCGGAAAAAAACTGCTACATTGAAGGCAACTAATGATTTGGAAGTGAAAAAAGTTGGGCTATTTGAAGACAAGTATCGCCAGATAAAATACAAAATTATAATCTCATGTTTTTTTTGTTGGATTTGTAGTTGTGTTGATGACAAAGTGAACTCAGTTGTTAGTGTTTAGTGTTCGAAATCAGTTGTTAGTGTTTAGTGAATTCAGTTGATAGTGTTTAGTGTCTTTTGTGATGTTGATGAAGTAATGACTTTTATTCTTCTTTTTGGTGTTGTAATGAATGTCCTAAGGACTGATGTATTGACGTCAAACTATTTTAATATGAAGTAATGTTTTATTGTTGAAGTAATGTTAATATTTGTACTAATCACTCTTTATCTTTCTTTTACACAGTAATAAAACTGGAACAAAACCGCAAGATCAAATATTGAAAAGAAACTTATTCTAAACATTACATATATATATAGATGAACACTTCATATAAATTGACAAAAAATTGATTCGAACATAAAGAAGTAAGTTCAATACATATCCCAACAAAAGTTGGTTCATATACAAAAAAAAATTAATACATAAACAAGTTTGTTCATGACATTACAATCCCAAAAATATGCAACAAAATAACAAAATATTGTCTTCACTACTAAACTTGTCACTGTTGTGCCTTGTCATTGCCCTGTTTTGTCTTAAGTATTTCCACTCTTAATTGCTCTAACAGTCTTCCAATAGTAGATGCATTTCCCTTCCATGTAAGCACTTTTGGTGCATACAAGTCACTTGGTGCAGTTGGACCATCACCAAGGAAGTTGATTTGTCTTGATCCAGTAGGTTATGCTTGTTTCTTTCTTTGTTGGACTTTAGACTTCAACTCTGAAACACCTATTGGCTTCCAAGGTATGTCATCCTCATCTTCAAGACCAAAATATTCAAAAACTTCATTTGACGCACAATCTCCACTAGGTTGTGGAGTTGTCAAGGGAAAGTCATCAACATCTTCTTCATCAATTAGTGTTCGATGTCTCTCCTTTTTTTTGTTTCTTTTCCTTGTTGGATCGCTTGTCCATCTGATAAAAGACCAAAATGATTACAAGTATGATATTTAAGCATCACACTCTAAAATAAGTTACTAAATTGTCCAACTTTCATACCTTTTCCTTTTTTAATTGCTCCAACACTTTTCTAGTTTCATATGCATTCCCTTTCCATGTAGGCATTTTTGTGCATTGTCACCTACTATAGTCAGACCATCACCAAGAAAGTTGATTTGTCTTGATCCAATAAATTATGCTTGTTTGTGTCTTTGTTGGATTCTAGACTTCAACTCTCTTGGCTTCCAGGGTATGTCATCCTTATCTTCAAGACCAAAATCTTCAAATTTTTCATGTGATGCATAAATACCCATTTTTCATGTGTTTTATGGTACGATCTCAGTAAACGCATTGGTTTCCACTACTATATTTGAAGAAGTTGATTCTACTCTTGTACTCTTTAAAACTAATTTTGACATGAGTCATACCACATATACCACTTTGATAAATTGATTTTTGTTGAGATAAAAGAGACATCGAGGATATGCTCACTTTTTTTTACTTAATCGGTCGAAAATATCTCCAACCCTTTTTAAATAGATTTGGTTACATATCTCTAGTACCATGACGAAGCAGATCTGGTACTGTGATGGATAGGTTATGAAAGTCATGGATCAGGACAACACAGTATATATAGACTTTCCAAGTTCCCTATGGATTCCTCTGTCCATGTGACACATTGAACATGAGGAGGGTTATCCACGTCGGTCCTACCTAGCATGCCACGAGGCAGGAGGCAGGTGTATATACTGGTTATGTGGCACTTTGTACTATTGGCACCTTTAGTTTCTATTGCATAACTTGCATTCATATACATCGACTATCACTAGTAAATTGACTATGTTTGCACCCACCGGTCTTATGGGAAGTCGGTTGTGTTATGTTTGTTGTTGTTGTTACGACACGATTTCGAAAACCAAGGTTTCGAAGCCATTTCGCAACTTTGTGGTAATTTTGTACATGTTTTTGGAAAAAATTTATAAATTTGGAAGTCGCCACTTGATTTTAGGAAAATTAAGAAAACGTTTAAAAGGGGGTTTTTTAAAGAAAATATTTTAAATAAAACCAGAGTCGGGTAAGGGTTTAGGCATCTTAGAGAATCCACTAACGCATGGTTGACCGACGGATTGAAAAGTTTGGCTAATTTTTAAAGGGAACTTAAGATTACTTGTAAAACAAAACATTGTTTTAAAATAACAAAAGTCTTTTGATACTTATACCCTCATCTTATTCCAAGTATGAAACAAATCAAATGTTAAAGTATCAAAATAATAATTTTAATTTAACATTTTATCCGAGTCAAGTTTTTGAGTCAAAAAATCAACACAATAACTTAAGCGTGGATTTGAAAGCTAAATACTAACTATGAAAACATATGAATAATTTTCAAATTAGTCTTAAAGCTAAGATTACTTAAAAGAATTTGAAAAAAAATTAAATACTTAACTCAAAATGAATAACAAAATAGAAAACTTCCCCAAGGATTCATCTAAATTAACAAAATAAAAGTGTTTAAAAGTTAGCGATCATCAACATATATTCACAAATAGAGTAGATAACTAAATAAAATAAAGAACTGGATAAAAGGGGAACTTTGGCCCCTTTCTGGTTCTGCCGCCACAACTGCACTCAAATTGAGGCTTTTCAAGTCCAATTTTTCAGATTTCCAGCCCTTTGGAATACTATTGTTGTTGCTGATTTTTATTATACGGGATTTTAAGTCCAGAACTTCAATTTTTTAGCCCTTTGGGGGCTGCTGCTACTGCTGCTAATTGGACTTATTAAAGTCCAAAAAATTTCATTTTTAGTCCCTTTGGGACTGCTGCAACTTAGTTGCTGCTATTGATTTGGGTTTTAACCCAACAATATTAGCTCTTTTTTTGCGACTTGAAAGAGGTTGACTCGAAGGGGATCAAATGCAAGAGAATGGAAGTCCAAATCGGACTCAAATGAGGAGAATTCATGCGAGGAAAACAAAGAACAAGAATTAGTATATAATCAAGAAGAGGGTTGATACTAACTTAACATGTAAACAAACTCCAACAACTTTTAATAATTCAACTCAAATCTGCCCAACAAAATAGGAAGCCAGCAGAAACAAAGAAGGCAATTAATTTTCAATTGTAACACATTTTTTTCACATTCAAACCATGAAACAACATAATCATAG